GGGGGGGGGGGAAATGGTCCGACCTGGCTGAGGGGAAGGAGTGGGCCTAGGCCCGATGCTGTGGAGGGGGGAGGGGGAGTGAGGCCAAACCCCAAATGGCAGGGCAGAGGCAGAGAAGGGGAGAATGGGCACAGATGATGTGTGGGGGGACAAACGCTGGTTTCCATCCATGCCCGCCCCTCCCCCATCATTCTTGATGGGCAATTTGCTAGTCTGTAATGAAAGTATTTTGCAATAATTTCTAAGATCATGGCAGTTTAGTGCAATACAGAGGTGAATTTAGGACTAAAAAAGGATGTTCCATATACTGGAACATGATATAACATTTTAATCTTAAATGCCAAGTGGACAGAGTCCTGTTACCTGGGCAGGCTCAGTCCACACCTACAGATCTACAAACTTTACATAGAGGAAACTCGTCTCTAGAGTGACTAAACCAGGTTTTCTCCTGTTGGGATCTGCATACCCAGACTATGTGCTAGCTGGGGAAAATTAGCAAGACAAACAATGAGCCTGTCAAGTGAGGGAAATTAAGATAGGGATGCTGAGATGTACATTCACAGTGTTCTAGCATCTCCCTACTACAGCCTCATACAGTTGCACTTAATGGGTGCATCTACAGGTGCAATTAACACAACACAAACTCTGGTGCTGTTTGAACCAGAGAAAACTACTCCTGGGTGCAGTACCTTCATGTGCACCTGAGACAGCAGCAATTTGAGCTGGGGCAGAGTAGCTCAGGCTGCAAGGATGCTTTACTGTGGAGCTAATTAGTCTACTCCCGCAATAAAGTGCACATGTAGGAGGACCCAATGTGTGTTAAGAGTGCCTTTGTGAGAGGCTGTTCATTTCTGTTTCAAAGTAGAGTAAGCTACCTTACTGAGCAGCTAGAAGGCCCACATGAGGAGTTAGTGCAGAGTAGGGAGTAAGCTGTAAACTTCATAGTAACTTCCCTTTTTAAATAAGCCTTTAATCAGGGGCAGATTAACACGTGGGCTTGGCCCCCTGGGGCACGAGGGTCAGCTCGGCCCATGCAGGCATGCTGGCCGCAGACATCCAGTGTTGGCAGCATGCACCTCCAACCCATGGTCAGGGGTGGGTACAAGTCTACCTACGGACAGTGGTGGCTTCCTGGGGCCATCTGTGGGAGGCTGCTGGCACCAGGATGGGATGGGACAGCCCTGCTCCACCAGGGCCAGCAGAGGGGTAGGCAGGCAACCAGGGGAGACATGGAGCCTTGTTCCTGCCCCCCAGGCTGGCCCCGGCCCTGGCCTGTCCCACAGAACTGGGGGATTTCAACCCTGGCTGTGTGGCACCCACTGGAAAGAGGGGCTGGGCCTGGCCGGGCAAGGCCAGTGCCTGGGTTGCCTTCACCTCAGCAGTGTTCATGGCCCCTGGCTCGCCCCAGATGTGCCAAAGAGGTTGGGCAGATCCAGCCACAGCCCCCTGGTGGGCGCAGAGGGAACCTGCCCTTGCCTGGTGGGGGGGACTCCAATTTTCTGTTTCCCCAGGGCCCCAATAAATCTTAATCTGCCACTGCTTTTAATAGACAAGCCTGGTAAAGAGGACAAGACTACCAAGCTGCTGCTGGATGACACTTCAGATACAGTGAACAATGAAAAACAGGTTTTTCACTGGCCTAAAGATACCGTTTTCTCTGACCAATTTAAGTGAAGGGGGCTTAAGAACAACCCAGACTGTCCAACTTTACCCACCAAAAGCAATTGTTTGGGGGACGCTCTGTCTAAAACCTACTATCTACAGTTGTAACCACATACCTCACAGGCTGCTGGCTATAGCAGCCTCAGTATTGTACGAGCCTACACAGTCCCGTGCATCAGACTGAGGACAGTCAAGCAGTAAAAAGCCAATTTGTATGCACTGCTTGACCTTATCTAGGGCTCTGAAGCTGATCAGTTGTTTTGGGTTTACTAGTGTGCCACTTGGCATCAGACACAGAAAGAGAGAAGTTTTGGTGTACCCAGGACTTTCAGGAATTAGGCTTACTGCATCTGAAATTTGCTAGAGTACTTCCTGAATACCAGTGACCAATAATGACAATGATTTGGCATGTGTTTAGCACTCCCTATCCACTAATCTAAAATGCTTTATAAGCATAGAAAGATTGATGTGATGCCCACCTCACAAATAAGGAAACAGGCAGAGAGAGGTTAGAAATTATTTAAATTCATACATAAATTCAAGAGGAAAAAAAAAAAGTGATACCTGAAGTACAATTTTAAATTACACTTGCTAGGTAAGGATTTGGCTGGGATAGTTTAGGAAAAGTTATCCTGCATTTGTGCAGGGAGTTAGACTGGATGACCCTTGAGGTCCCTTCCAAACCTGTGATGAATCTGATCTTCTAGACCTCTTTACACACAACATAATAACAAACTGACTTATTAGCATGAAATACCGTACAGTCCGCTGTCCACGGAAGTACTGCTGTATTATAATAGTCGCTCGTCTGACATGGAGGAATTTCTTCCGCTGCAGCCAGCCTCGGACATTCTTTTGGATCATGATGCATGCTTGCCTCAGTTTGTCTGCCCGTAGTTTTTCTAAATAAGCAACCTGCCCTGCTCTAAAGAAAATTTTTGTTCGCCCAAACTGATACTGGTTAGGATCCTGAAAGAAAAAGCAAAGCAAAGCAGTAGTTTGTTTATAAGCTGCAATCTCCTCTTCCTCAAAAACCACACATTTCATCTTTCATAAAATTTAGCACAGTAGCTGAGCAATGCAAAAAATGACAAGACCTGGTTAACTCTGAGTACTGTCTGTCATCTTTATACCTGTAGGGAAATCTTTCAGCACATGCACATGACGGGGAAAAGGCAAAGAACAGAACACTAAATCCAAAGTTTACTCCCAGGCATGTCAATGAGAAAAGATTTAATCCCAAAAATGTAAAAATAAAGCAATACCAAAAGGATGCCAAAACACACAGCCCCCAGACTAAGAAAAAACCATTTCAGGGGTAAACATCAATGGTTTCCCTAACTTTTGCACTTTGTTTATTATACCATCTTTCTACCTCACAAAAATAACACACATAAGGAACCTGAATGCAAAAGTGCCTGAGGAACCTGCTTATTGTCAGTTTTGTGTATTTTATACTTGTATCTTTCATCCTACAACATCCCACACTAATTTAAAAATTATGGCTCAACTTCTGCTCACAGCTACCTTGGATGCAAGTCAACAGTCATTTTGTTAATTTAACTGGTGTAACTGAAGGCAGATTTGGGCTTTGTATATTTTCAGATTGATAGAAATTACAGCCACATCTCAGAAGAAGAGCTAGAAGGAGAGCTACCAGTAACTGGTAGTATACAGGAGTTGTACAGAAGTAATAGAAAGGAAGAAAATTTTAAAACTAAAATTAGTCCAGAACAAAGACTGGCTCTTGAATGTTAAGAGCCAGAGGACACCAGTTTTTCAAATCTTGCTGGAAAAAAACACCTGCAGGAAACTGTTCAGTAAATTAGATTAGTAGCTTCCAGAGGATAAAGGACTGAACTGAACCTGCTGGGATTAAAACGCTGG